CGCGTGGTTTTCCTGGGCTGAACCTGCTCCTGAGCCCGGCAGCTGAGTGTGGGCAGGAGCTGGAACCAGCACATCCTTAATGGCTCACCACTGCCCATGGGCACCCTCCTGCTCCCTCCTGGGCAGGGGCTCTCCAGGAGCATCACCTGCTCACACAGCAACTCCTGAGCACAGAACGAGAGACACAGGTCTCACAGTCCTGCTCAGTCAGGTCACCAAGCTTTTTAAATTCAGCTGGAAGCCAGGAGAGTCACCCTGTGCCAACTGCTGGCCATGAAGGTGTTGTGCCAGGCCGGCAGAGAACCACCCCAGGGAAGAGGTGATGCACAGCTGCCCCTTTTTAGCTCTTTGTGCAAGAAATCTGCCAGCAGAGGAAGCGTGTGGAGCTGCCAGGAAATCCCTGCAGTGCTCCGAGCTAACTAACAAGCTGCCAGAAGAAAGGTCAGCTGGAAATTACAGCCAGCTCCCTGCACGGGTTCAACTCAGGTACAAGGAGGATTTAAAGGGAATAAAAAAACCCCAAAAGTCTACCTTTGCATGCACAGGGCGAGGGCTGTGTGTGCAGCTGGAGATACAGGGCAGAAACAGCCTCATGTGGGTGCAGGGACACAATGAACCTGCTCCTCTAAGGACAGAGCTGCAGCAGGGAGGGGGAGAGGAGCAGGAGGCTCCACAGAGCTGAATCACTCCATTATATTGGATCAAGAGAAGCATCTCTGTGTTTGAGAGTGGTGGGTACAAGCAGTGCTATTCTGTACTCGCTGCCACTTGATCTCCTGTGCTGCTGACACCTACAGAACCCCAACAGCCCCCACTCCACTTGCATTTCTTTGCAAAGAGATCCCCCCCCTAAAAAAACCGGCACCAGGGAGCAGTCAAAGCCCAAGTGGGAAAAGCAAATCCCCACCTCAGCCTCCCCTCAAAGCAGGCAAACAAGGAGCCTCCCTGAGAAGCCCCTGTGGGCTGAGTGACCTCTGTTGCACTGCACTGTGCTCTCAGCAAACAGAGCAGCGAGAGGCTCTGGAGCAGCTGGCACGCTCTGCACTTCCCAGCAGCTTTTATGTAAAGAGCCCGAGTTCATTAAACCCTTGGCCTGTGTGTGACTGCCAAGGCTGCAGCACAATCCACAGCTCCTCACGGGTGCCTGCTGCCTCCAGCTCCTGCTCAACTCCAGAGGCTTTCCCGGAGCAGGGAGGATGTGCTGCTCCAGTGGGGACAAGCACTGGGTCGGCACCAAGGGGAGCAGGGTCCTCTGCAGCAAAACACTGGTCACCAACCTGCCGATGCTCCAGTGGCACAGCCGAGTCCTCCACACCCTGGGTGCTGCTCCAAGACAGGGGAGAGGTGGGAAAGTGCCTTAAATAAGTGTCTTACATTGCAAAGTGGGCATCTGGGTTATTTCAGGGCCTGCCTCCCTTCTCATGCAATGGTACAGCCCTAAAAAAAACCCAAACCGCTGTGTAATAAAGCAACGGCTGGTGCCACTTAGGACAAGCTGCCCCCTCACTTACTTCAATGCAACGGTGTGTGGGAGAAGCGTGGAGTCTCTCTTAGAGACTTAAAGAGCAATCGAAAAGCCTCCATAGTTTTGCAAACCTGCTCTCCCCTTCCCCCCACGTGTCCTCAAAGAGCACGGATGGCTGTTTTTCGAACCTCCTGCTCAGGATGTGGGAAGGCAGAGCGCGGGGCGGGTTGTTTTTCAGGCTGAGCCTGTCCCTGCACCACCTCCCCAGCACTGCGGGGGAACCACTGGAGCCCCAGCCACTCACCAGGGACCTGTAAGACAGAGCCCCGTCGGCTGTGTGGCCTTGGGGACATCTGGGATCCT